CCCTAAGTGCACTATATAACATATTTGAAGGACTCCTATCTCACAAATTCAGAGTCCTGAGGCAGTATTTATAATAATTTATTTTTTGAGGATGAAAGACCGTCCCCTGTTAAGCAAGCATAAAGGGTGTGTTTGTAAATAAATCGATTGATTGTGTTGACAAATCATCAATTAAAATTAAAGTAATGGGTAAAAAAAATAAACAATGAGGCAGCATACTCTAAGCTTTCTACAAATTCCTCAATTTTTTTAGCCCTCTAGTTAGCAAGCAACACTTGGTTTCTTAACCCCACCTCTTGTCACTATGTCCTAACTTTTGTAAACTGCAATCTTACTATTTCCAAAAGCAATGGATTGTGAGAAGAAATAAGTCTGTTTTGAAAGGCTATTTTTAGTATGTTTTTAGCTTATTAAAAAGCCTCCTGGCTATCAAGTGAGCAGGATGTATAATGTGTTTACACTCATCTCCAATTACTATTTTTCTAGTAAGATGAGCGACATATTTTATCCTGTAAGAGCTCGAAATTTTGGATACCGTCTCAATAGGTAGGAGCAAAAAAAAATACGAGTCTTTTAGAAAGCAAGGTTGCCACAGTCAGGGAAACCAGTAAAACCGGGATATGTCAGGAAATTTAAAAGTCAAGGAAAACCGGGAAATATCAGGGATAATTTGTTAAATCTTCTTTATTTGTTTTCTAAAACGGGTTTGAGGTTTCGGACTACAAATTTTGCCTAATAACTATTTTCAATCATGTCTTCATAGCCATTCGTCATATCTTCATTTGTCAGGGAATTTCAACAAAATGTATCCGGGAATTTCAATATCCAAATTCTGTGGCAACCCTGAGAAAGCCGAGAGTATGCTGAAGATAGCTTTCTTTATTGCTTTGATGTGTTTCCGTCAGCTCTGGAAAGACCAAAGGCATTGAAAGTTCGTTCCAAAAGACTACGTTTAAGAGGAACTAAAGACAATCCTGCTGTCATGTGTGACGATCCCATAGGAATCAGTGTTTAAAAAAAAAAAAAAGAAAAAAAAAAAAAAGATGTATCATGATGTCAATGCACTAAAACACGCACCAAGTGTTTCTGTACATTAGTCATCAGAAAATCAAGGAGACCAGGAAATATAATTTTTAAGCAAGAATGATTGTTACAGTAATTTTCAAATGCCCCATTGAACCCTTATGTAGTTGTCATAAATTCCCATAATTACTCTAGAAAGAATCATCTTGATATCTTCTTTCCTCAAAATGAATGAGCAAGTATTCATGATAGTACAATCCTTCTACAAATCATGTATATCTATATTGTTCCATATTGTGAGAAAGTATTTCAGTCTTCATGTATCTCGTTGTAAGTCATCCTGTTGGTCTGTTAATCGCTCCCGTTTCATGGCTGCCTGAAATTTCTTGTCATTCAATCTGAGCACGCGTTATCGATGTCCTCCACTCATGCCTCAGGATTGAAGAACACAACCGTTGAATTTGCGATGCCTCCCCGATCAACCGTATTTTCCCTCAGCTGTTGATGGAATTGGTTCTAGCATGAAATGCACACCAGATTTGTTCCTAGTTATTTTTTTATTTCATTTTTAAGATTGTAAACTGATCAATGATTAATGCCTTTGATTTTATCAATGAATAAATTAAATTTGAACTAAAGTTCCTTATAATTTGAATCCTTTTCTAAAACTGATTAAATATTTCTTGTGTCCTCCTGAAAGTGAAAAAAACTTTTTTTTTTTTAAACTTTATCAGGCAAATCTATAGGATAGTTCAAATAAATAATTTTCTTTCTTTTACTGAAGATTTTTATCCTCAGGATTTTAAAAGAAAAAGCTTGGTGAAAGAAGCTGCTCTACGGCAATACCATCAAAACAGAAGAGCCATGAAGGCTTATTGTTGATACCTGGCCTTGATATGGTCTGTAGTACATAGTAGCTTCTTCAAATGTTGTGCTCAAGATATTGTTGCCATTGATTTTGGGGATGGTAAATAGCGGCTATTACAATAACTGCGTCTTAAGTTTGTACTGCATGTGAAATTTAATGCTAGTAAAAGATTAATAGGAAAAGTCACAGAATACAATTATTAACTAAAGACTCAGAAAGCTCCAGGAAATTAGTTTCCAGTGAGGCGCATGCCTAATAGATTGATCCACTTAAAGAGTAAGACAGAGGATCCACCTCCTCGCTTTTTTTATGAACTTTCAATGCTGAAATGAGGGCAGTAGATCCTCTATGCGATAGCATGCGCTGAAATTTTCTGTCTTACTTGCACTGCATTTTGTCAAAAGCCTGGCTCACCTATGTATCCTTACATGTGAGATGAACAGGCAAGTCAAGCTGCTGCTTGCGTAGTCGGCCCACGCCAAGGAAGAATGCTGTACGAGTCTTTAAATATGACCCTATACCTTGGGTAAAATACAGATTTTCAGAGAAACTGGTTGAAATTTTCCTTCCAATTTTGCCGATAATTTTAGTCTTTTTTTCAATCTAAAGTATCTGAAAACTTTCAGGGAAAATATGCAAAGCTTTTCTCAGAACAAATATTTTCGGGTTTGTTTTTTTTTGGTGGGTGGGGGAAGGGGGCTATGTCCAAATGTTCTTACAACCCTCTTTCTTAGCACAGCATTAGTTCCTTTCTGTCTCACTCATGAGCTTAAAGGTGAGCCCGGTAATATGCTTGTGAGAGGAGATTTAAACAAAAGTCATTGCTTTTGTAGAAGGAACTCTTAAGTGGATTTCAGGTGTTGACTCCAAAAATTAAGTTAACATTTAAAAATAGAGTTTTCCTCTGGTGCCTCAAGTTTAGGAGATAAGGAGCCTCTAAATTTCCGAAGAATTTTAAGTTGTATAAGAATTCAGACTAAGCTCGATAGAGAGAGAGAGGTCAATTTGAGTCACCATAAGTGAATAAAGGAGTGAACTAGTCAAATATCATTTTTTTACCATTTAATACTTAACAATCATTCTACTTATAATGGAGGTATTCAAAATTTAGAGCGCTGAGAAGAAACTGTTTCTTAATTTTCTTATTTTAGAGCAAGAAAACCCTATTTTTATCAGGTCGGGTTTGTAATACAAGGACATCGTTTTCATCCGAATATTGACAGAGAGAGTGCAAACATGCATATCGTGTTTATGATATTTCAAAATCTCCACTCCCATTTTATTTGATAAAAGGAAAAAGGAGCAAAACTTTTGTTTAAAGTTTTTACAGAATTTCTTAACACAGAAGGAAAATCATGGAAGCTCTCAAGAAATGATGTTGAGTAATTTTTTCATTCAGAAAATAAATTTTAGTAGAAAGTTTTCAGCATTGCAAATCGAGAAACGCGTTTTTGCAGTTTCGCCATCAACATGCTCGTAATGCACTCCTTTTTGCTCTGATTTCAACAATTCAATTTCGATCTCTTGTGGGCACAAGCCTCTTTGCTTGCCCAACCTCTCTACAGTTGTTTTAGGCCTTGTCCACACGAGCGCAGTTTGGACGAATAAGTTCTACGAACTGGGGAGTTCTAGAGACGAGTTATAGCCGACTTATAATGAGTTCCTGGAACAAGTACCGCGAACCATGCTTGTGTGGACAAGGCCCTACTTGACTCTTTTTCTGAAAGAGTTTCACAAAGAATATTCAGATAGGAACTAAATGGATGCGGGAATTTACATTAAGAGCAGAAGTATTCAAAGAAGAGAAAACCCTCATTCAAATGTAATTTTATTTTTTTCAATCATTCTTTTTGCTGCATGAAAGCAGATTAATATTGTGATGCTCCGGAATCTCAAAGGACTTCCTAATTGAATTTTTGCCCATGCTATGTTCCTCAAATTTTTTAATCTCAATTAAGTTGCACCCCTCCGCATTACAAAGGTGGTCACTGAAATACTAAAAACAAATTGTGGAGCGCTTCGCTCGTGATAAAATGAAATTATTAAAGAAATTTTTAAACGCAATTCTAATGAGTCCCGGCAATCTTGTGTAGATTAGAATGAACATGAGTATACAGCTCGCAGTAAATAGTTTAGGATAACTATAAATCACCGGGGACTAGCAATTTTGTTTCTTTGGACATAAATTGTGCTTTGCACATCATACATGATAACAGGTCAAGTTTCAGTTTTTGCAATTCAAAATATAACGACAGAGAATTGCTTATGTTGCCAACCTGCGTTGAAATTCAGCCTAAAACTGGAATTCTCATTAGGAAAGGAAAAAGCTCATTTCAGCACAATTTTTCTCAAACAGATATGCTGTTTGGTGCAACACTAGGTTTGACTCGTCAGGGAGGCAAGTGTGGACGCATTTCAGTTGGTTCCATTATCAGCACAATGCAGCCACCTGCTTTTTGCCCCCAAGATTGAAGAGGTGGTAAAAACCAGGCCAAAGATTGGACATACAACCCCGACGGCAAGCAAACTTACTGTCTTTCAGTCAGGGAACTATCCAAATAGCTCTGCCTTAGTCGTAGCTAGGCAGTGTTCCTGCGAGCTGATTGCGGTTCGATGCCTGAGTTGTTTAGACAGAGTGTTGATGATTTTGCCAACATGCCAATCTAATAATTTATAATAAAAAATTGTAATAATTCGCTATTTTCTCACTTATGAGGTAAATTTGGACAATTTCAGTGTATCCATTGTATTTTTCGCAAAATTTTGGCAAAGAAATAGCTATTGTGGACCAGTACCCAGTCCATTAAATTTAAGTGCTCAGAGGGTTTCGCTGATTTCATCTTTACAAAGCTTCTGCATTCGTGTTCTCTTAACATTTGCTGAGACATCTTTCTAGGTACACACTTAACAGATACCCTCTCATTTTATTACATTTTTACCGTGGTCATGTCCTCAGAAAAATTAGAGCTCTTTGAATTCTTAAAATGCAAAATTTTAATATTCATATGTTTCTACCACTGAAAAGGGCATTTTCTTGTTCCAAAATCCTTTTCAAACATTTCAATTTGTAATGATTGTAGTGAATTCATATCTTTGTTTGTTGTTCTAGGTATGGTGATAGAACTCGTGGAGGCAATTATAGTCACTCGGATACTCTCAACTATAGTAACTCAAGGCGTTTCAATGACACAATTAGACCTCCAGGGGAGTCTGGAGACTACTATGGTAGGGATCCTGGTTTTGATGATAATCCTCGAAGCCCACGTAGAAGCAAAGAACAGATCAAAGAACCTGTGCAACGAATGGAACACCGACAGGATCGGAATGATCATCGCGGAAATCGAAATTCTGAATGGAGCACACGAGAAGTTGAAGCAGACTTCCGAGATCGACCATCTGACTATGAGGGTAAAGTGTATTCACGAAAATCTGCCTCCCCTGTGCACAAGCATTCTCGAGGACGGCATGGTAGAGATTTTGTTGAAGATAATGATTATAAAAATGTGCAAGTGTACAGTGCAAGTCGTTATCCTCCTGATAACCGAGGAGTCAATATAAATCATAGTGTGCTAGTTGACGTTAAACGTGAACCTTCCGCCGATAAAGATTATGAAAAAGAAAAGCGCTCAAAAGATCGTGAGAAGGAAAGAGAAAAAGAGAAAGAGCGTGAAAGAGAACAAAGAGAGAAAGAAAAAGAGAAGGAGAAAGAGAAAGAGAAAATTAAAGAAAAGAAAAAGAAAAAGTCTGATACTGATAAAAAAGAAAAGAAAAAGAAGAAGAAAGAGAAAGATAAGGAAAAAGATAAAGAAAAAGAAAGGAAGGAAAAACCAATAGATGCAGTGAATGTTCCAGTAGAGAATGATGATACGACTGTTGCTCCAGTAATGGCAGAGGATCAATTGGATGAGGAAACGCAGAACCTAGGAAAAGCTGAAGAAAGTTTCAATAATGAAATGGCAATTTCAGAAACAGAACCAGTACCAAATACAGAGAATACGTCTTCCACTGAAGGAGAGGATTTAAATAAGACTGATGAAAATGTACTATTAGCAGAAGTTCCGGAAAAATCTAAATGGGAATTAGATGAAGATTTACCGATTACAGAAGACAAAATGAGTGTAACTCAAGAAATTGATGAAAATACACAAGGTGAAGATTCAAAAGCTATCACCTCCGAGGTTTTGATGCGCGCTGAAAATGTTATATTCCAACGAGGGGATAGTAATGCAATACGCTCGAGTGGTGCACCCAGCAGTGGGTCCAGTAGCAAAAAGTCAAGCCCTGACACTGTCAAAGTACCTAAAGAAGAACAAGTCACTAAAACAAAAGAGGAACCAGTCCTCAAGAAGAAGGAGGAGCCAATTGTCAAGAAAAAAGAGGAACCAGTTCCTAAGAAAAAAGAAGAGCTAGCTCCAAAGAAAAAAGATGAAGCAGCTCCTAAGAAAAAAGAGGAAGCAATCCCCAAGAAAAGAGAGGAAGCGATTCCGAAGAAAAAAGAGGAGCTGGTCGTAAAGAAAAAAGAGGAAGCAGTCATTAAGAAAGAGAAAGTAAAAGAAGAACCCCTCGTGAGGAAAGAAGAAGGTGAACTGAAGCTATCAAAACAGGTCAAAGCCGTTAGTCTTCCTGGTGAGAAGACGAGGAGCTCAAGGGAGACAAAGAAGACAGGTCCTTCTTTTAATGTCACATTGCCTGCAAAATCACCTGTTAAAGAGGTGAAAATTGTACACATTGAACCAGAGCATAGAATTTCTGCCAAAGATCGATTAGGCCCTAAAACCGATGGTAGTGATGAAAGTCTTAGAGCAGCCAAGCATCAGAAAACCTGGGGCTCAGATCGCAAATACCTAGAGCAGAGGATAGTCATCCATTCTGACCATTCTGGTCCATTTTTAGACAAATTACCACAACTGGAGAAGAAAGTCCACCATCATCATAGCCATGACAGGAAAAAAATCAAAGATCGCTCTAAAAGTAAGTCACCCTCTCGCCATAAATTGAAAAAAGAGAAAAAATTAGCTCGAGAGGAAGCAAAGAAGCAGAAGCATGCTGCTAAAGAAGCGGGAAGCCGAGAATTACACAAAGAGCTCAGCAATCCAAAGATAGAAGTTGACCGAAAAAAATCAATAACCATAGACGAGTCGACATTTGAGCCGGATTATGACGCTTTGTCACATTCTGAGTCGGAGCTGGAGGTCCCTGGCGAGGAAAGGCTTTTAATTCATGAACCTATGATCATTAATGAGAGTGCCGAAGAAGCAGAAGAAGTAATATTAAAGAAACGATCAAGATCAAAGAGCGATGATGTTAGAGAAGCGCAAAGCAAAAGAGTAAAAGTGATCGAGGTCGTGAAAGCTGCTTCCTCAGCATCATCTGATTCTGAGTCGAGCAGTTCAAGTGAATCTAGTGAAGAGGAGAAGGAGAAAAAGAAGAAAAAGAAAAAGAAGTCCAAGAAGAAACGCAAGCACAAAAAAAGGAAAGTAGAAGTATCCTCTGATTCAGATGACTCGGATGATTCATCTGATGAGTCCCTTGTTGAGACAAAGAAGAAGCACAAGAAAAATAAGAAGAAAACTCATAAGAAAAAATCGAAAAAAAAGAAGGCTAAAAAATAAGTTTTTTTTATTTCATTTGCAGATACTGTAATTCTTTCAAAAAATATTACAGTTTTTCTTTTAAGATAGTAACAATGCAGGTCAACAAAACAGAGGCGCTCAGTTTTCAACCATCATTTTATTTTCTGAGAATTTTCCCCATAACAACTTGAATAAATGGCGGACCCAAATTTGAAACCTGGATTTGAATCAAATTCAATTCGTTTAGCGCCACCGATTCTTAGTTTTTCCTGTAAATATTTTTTTATAAATGTATTTTGTGCTCTCAATCACCCTGTGGACTCGAAGTCTGATCACAAAGATGATACATCAGAATAAAAAAGGAAGAAATTGTTTCCCATTCATACTGCATTTCACATTTGTTTTGTTTCTTGCCCCAGAAGATTTTTGTCTCCAAAATGTAAGGATCGATGTAGGTGTTTACTTGATATGTGAGTTTTTATTTGATCTTTTTTTACTTGGATCAGTTCCAAAGTATTTTTTTTTATCCTTTTTCCCTTTTTAAATTCTAATTTTTATGAGACTGTGTAGGCATATCTAAGGTATGCACACTCCTCTACATCGAGCTTTACCTTTATCATCAAGACACTCATTTGTTTGGATTTTTGTCCGAACTTTATCTTACTTTGGATGCAAAACTGTAGGTTGTTCTACATTAACTTTGTTTGTAAAGGCAGAAAGTAAAAATTACCTTTTTTCTTTATTTCACAATGCTATGTACTCCCCTTCATTATGTGATCCTTTCCTCGCTGAAACTTCTATTTTCAGACACTTTAGGAACTACTGGGTTTTCTTCTTTGTTGAACACTAACCTCCTGCCTTGAGTTTCCCCAGTCTGGCCGAATTGTGTCTGATTTTGCGATTTTTGTATTTTATTCGTTTATAACAAAAATAAGTGAAGAAATGATTTTCTGAGTTGACCCAAGATGTTAGCTATTTTAGATACTAGTACAGTTACTCTGGTGGAAAATTCAGGAAAAACCATAATAACCACAAAACGAAAAAAGGAATCTTTCTTTCCAACGCATGTTTCCAACAATGTAACATTTCAGCCAGAGTAATAATGATCACAAAACGAGAGTGCATAAATTAATAACATTGGTGACACTGCAAAAACGTGAATCTCTGTTCGCAGCGCTGCAAACTTCCTGTCATAATTCATACCCTAAATGGTAAAATACCCAGCATCATTCCTTGAAAACTTCCCTGATCTTTTTGCTTCATGTAAAGTACACTCTGTGGAAATTTCAAGCATTAGTGTTGGTTTCCTTCCCTTTGATAAAATAAAATGAGGGCAGAGATTTTGAAACACCAAAAAGGAGGTTTGCATTTTTGCAGTTTCACTGTCAGTAACTAGTATATCACAAAAAAATTTAAATTCTCAAGATTGAGTTGGACTCTATTCCAATTTTTTTCAGTCTAAAGCTTCATCACTGCAAAATTTTGGATAGTCCGAGGAATACAGTCATCTGTTAGAGTAAATTAAATAATTAAAATGTAACACCTGTGTAAAAATATATTTCCTGAAACGTATCGAGAACAAAATGAGAATTTTCAATTTTTTTATGCGGTAAAATTCATTTTCAAGTGACAGTGTTTTATGAAAGCAGTCAATGAAAATTTTTTAATGTATGCTTTAGTCAGTGCAAATTTGCTTGTTCTGTATAAAGATTGAGGCTGTTAAGAAATTGTAAAATGTAAATTATTCTTGTAAGTGCATTACTTTAATAATTTTTTTTTTTAAAGTTTCAAACTTTCTACACATAGAGTATATGTCATTTCATAAAAAGTTCGAATAATAATTGAAGGATTAAAGTATGCATTTATCGAGTCAAAGTGAAACAGGAGTATCATTTGTAAAATTGTAAAATAGGAGAAAGGCTATTACTGTACGAGTGCATGCAACATGTTGACAAGAATGAGCTTCGGTCTTGCTCTCTTTAACTGATCTGACGGTGGACATTAACTTACTATTAGGCAGAAGAAATTTGTACATATATTGCTCTGTTTGTTTTTACACCTCTGTATTTTGTTAGAAAGAGTTGATTACATTTATCAATAAACAAGTCTAAATTCCTAAAATCCAAGTTTTTAATATCCTCTCACTTTTACCTTTTCCCTCTTTTACATCTGTTGAAAAAATAACCTGGATTGCAGGAATGCGTGCACCGTTTTGTTGATTATATTCTAGGACCCTAGTGCCATTGACTTTAAAAAAAAGTTAAAAAACTCCTAAATGTCAAAGAGAAAATTCTTAAAGAACTATTTGAATAGCTGCTTTAGGAAACCGGTTTTGTTGTTAAGCATCAGTATGAGTACCTTTTAGAATTGAACACATTTTGATGCCGATTTTTTCATGTAATTTTTCACATTTTTACTCTGAAGAGAACAAGGTGCATTTCCTTACTTGCAGTGTTCGAAACTCACAGGCGCAAACGCACCAAATGCTTCTAAAAAATCGGCCACAGCGCTTAAAAAATGAAGGCTCTGCGCCAAAGTGGCCCCTTAAAATTGCCCCCTAAAAATCTGGATTTTCATAGGAAGTCACATAAAGAAAGAAAGACAAATCTATTTGAATTAAAAAAACTTAGAATTGTCAGCACTACAAGTGAAAGCTTTTGTTATTCTTCACGATTTCATTTTTAGTGCTTTTGTCTTCCCCAAGTTACAGCTACTTACTAGTTCTGTTATGAAAACATCTTGCGTCTAACTTTTTCACTAAATGCGCCGTAATATATAGGCAAAAAGTCAATTTAGCCCCTAAAAAATGTTCAATGGCGCCTAAAAATCGGGCTTGATGCGCCACATTGCTCCTTAAACTTGAGGGTGAGTTTCGAACACTGCTTACTTGTGCAGAACTCCTTATTTCAACCGTAATTCAAACTCCATTATTTCCAAACTGTATTTCAAAAAATTAAAAACCAAACCAAAATTAACTGGAGCCTTAGGGCAAAAAGAAAGTTCAAACTGACTTTCTCTCTCTTAGAAATTGAATTTTAGCAGGAAATTTTTCCTAGAGTATATTTTAAGACTAGTCTTAGTCGAGATTATGAACACCTCAATCTGTTCAAAAACTATGCCCAGGTACTCCAGCTGCCTTCTAAGCCTCCCCTTTCAGTTCTACATTGTCAGCTCAATTAATTAGTTTATTAATGCATGATTCTAGCCATTGTTCCCACGGTCTGAAGGCAATTATTTTTATAATACTTATTATAATTTTAAATCTGCACCTTGCTAAATATCGATTAAATGAGGGACCAAAGTCTGTCAGGTAAAGCTTTTTAAAAAATGAATGAGTGTTCCCTTTAATTTATGAAGCCCAAAATCTTGAAAAAAAGGCAGTTACAAAGCCTCGTAGAAAAAAATTTTAAAGAATACTTTTGGAGGAAGCTGTTAAAATACAGTATATATTTTAATGTCTCCCTCGATCTTTCCCCTGCACAAATGTATGAATACCTAAATCCTGTTACTACAAACACAAATACTTGGTTGCCAGGGGGGTCAGCCCCAGTTAAGGGCCTCTTGGTTGCCAGGGGGGGGCAGCCCCAGGGCAAGGCCTCTTGGTTGCCAGGGAGGGCAGCCCCGGGGCAGGGCCTCTTGGTTGCCAGGGGGGGCAGCTACAGGGCAGGGCTTCTCGGTTGCCAGGGGGGGCAGCCCCCGGTTAGGGCTTCTTGGTTGCCAGGGGGGCAGCCCCGGGGGAGGGCCTCTTGGTTGCCAGGGGGATAGCCCCGGGGCAGGGCCTCTTGGTTGTCAGGGGGGGGGGAAGCCCCGGGTTAGGGCCTCATGGGTGCCAGGGGGGACCGCCACCGGTTATGGCCTCTTCGTTGCCAGGGGGGGCAGCGGCAGCCCCGGGGAGGGCCTCTTCGTAGCCAGGGGGATAGCTCTGGGAGTAGAGAAATTCCGATGAAAGAAAATAATCCGAGATTAGTATCAAATCCCATGTAGGTACTTGGAGGCGTAGAATCAATTCCGCGTGGTCCCGAGGCTCGCCGGAGCTTCCTGAACCTGCTGAACTTGGTCCAATTCGTTGCTCCTACGGCGTAAGGGTGTATCTCAAATTCCGCATGAGTCCCGCCACAGTGGTTTTGAAGCAAAAAAAAAAAAAAAAAAAAAAAAAAAAAAAAAAAAAAAAAAAATGGGACAAAAATGTACCCAAAAATGGTTTGCTCGGGGTGAGTCCATGGTACGTGCACACTTAAAATCGTGAAAAATCAAAATGTTGGCTAGTGCTATTTTCGAAATACGCGCTTTGAAATTTTCATGGTAAATGCAACTTTTCTACTGATCTTCATCCACTTTTTATTTATTTGTACATTGAATCGGTGTTGATCGGCTCACGTTTTTATTTTTTGTTCGAATTAAGTCGATCGAATACATGCCCTCTCTTTACATGCACACTTCCTTTCATACTCTTTTTTTTAACCGAAAAATTCGCCTTCTGCTGCGTCTGCGGCAACTGTTGTTACGAATATGTTGTGCGTGTTGGATTAAGGTCATTACATACTCGACTCTCTGAAGGCGTTTTGTGTGCGAGAGCAATTCGCCAGTTCTCCAACAGGGTACGCCACTTGCGCACATAAAACGCCTTCAGAGAGTCGAGTATGTAATGACCTGAAACCAGCACGCACAACATATTCGTAACAACAATTGCTGCAGACGCAGCTGAAGGCGAATTGCTCTCGCACATAAAACGCCTTCAGAGATTCGTGTAAGTAATGACCTGAAACCAGCACGCACAACATATTTGTAAAAACAATTCCCGCAGACGCAGCTGAATACGAATTTTTCAGTTAAAAAAAAAGGGTATGAAAGGAAGTGTGCGTGTAACGAGAGGGTCTGTATGAGCGACATGAATCGAACGAAAAATGAAAACGTTAACCAATCAACACCGATTCAGTGTACAAATAAATAAAAAATCGGATCAAAATCAGTGGAAAAGTTGCATTTACTATGAAAATCTCAAATCGCGTATTTCGAAAAAAAAATCAGTCAAGATTTTTATTTTTAGCAATTTTACGTGTACACGTACCATAGACTCGCCCCCTGCAAACCATTTTTGGATGCAATTTTGTCGCTTTTTTCTTTATCTTTTAGATAAAAAATCTCGGCAGATTTTGAATTTTCAGCAAAAAAAAAGGACGATAGCCCCTGCGCATGAGTCTAAAGAACCATTTTAAACCCAAAAATCGGCAAAATTAAGAGAAATGAAAGCAGAATAGTGTTTGGAAAAAAACCTCACATTCGATACAGAAATCGGTCAAGGGTCAATTCCAAGCGAGCTTACTTGGTTCCGACCCTATCGGCGAAATTTCCATTTTGACCCGAAAAATTTAGTCCATGTAACCCCTGTCGATTTTTCTCAATTTGGGACTGAGAAAAAAATTCCGAGATTTTAGTCGCATCCTACGTAGTTGAAGGCGAAGTATCGATTCCGCACGGTCCCGACACTCGGCGAGGCTCCCTGAGCTAAGAAACAGTCAAAAATTCGTCCACAACTAGCTTCTCTGACCACTTTTTGTCTCTTTCTTCGGAGCGTTTTCAGCGGATAACTCGTAGCGAGGGACTC